GCAGCAGGGTGTAGGGTCACTTAGGAAAAGGTAGTATACACACCCTCAGAACAAGGAGCAGGTAAGGAGGGAATGAATCCCCATCAGCGCAAGGCTGGCAGTGCTCATGTGCCTGTCTTCAGCAGCACAGTCGCTGGAGAAAATAAGATTCTTTTTGCAACATGCAAAACACTTATCTGAAGTTGCCATCTCAGTGAAAGAGCTTTCCTATAGAGAAAGAGAGAGAGGTGGGTTTGCAGAGCGGGAATCAGAGCTATAGAGACCTTTTGTCCCTGCTGATCACAAAAGGAGTCTGACCTCCTAATGTCAATCCCCAGGTATGGGTCCAGTTCAGCTCAACAGATACCCAGGGATGGATTAATCTGGCTAAACACAGGCATTATGTCATTTGTCCTAGGGTACGTGCAAGACCCATAGGGGCCGGAAGATAAAACACACACCTACAGAACATCTGAGCCCTCTGGAACAGGAGCTGTGTGCCAGGCAAGATACCCCTGCACATATCCAATGGCACTAGCACTTCTGCATGCACTACTGAACTGATCTGTAGGTATTCACTTTAGGTTGAGCTGAGTAACTCTCCAGATTTCATCTGTATCACTTGAGCTCCAATAACTTGTACTAGAGCTTATATATTTAGCTTAGCTGTTGATACCTGCACGTAAATACCTAAATTTAGGTATCTTAATCTGCCAGCTGAAGACCTTCCAGTGCTTCCACCTTCTGCCTGCAGCCAACATAAACCAAGCTATCCAGCCCCCAATGGACTTGTCTCATCAAAGATTACTCCTCCCCTGCACTGGATATTGTAGATGAACTCCAATCAGGCAGCCAAGGTTAGAAGTGTCACCACTTATTGTTCATCAGGTGAACATCTAATCCCAGAATTCCTCATTGCAAAGGACAATTTGTAGGGAAAGGAAACAGCTAAAGCAGGCATACTTTAGCCTGTAACATGCTATAAGTACTTATACATATACCTTTTTTGTAAGCAGCAGAGAGAGTCTCATTACTGCCCATTTGCTGAATTAATCAAGCTTCAGGATAGCCTAATAAGTGAATTAAAGCTTCACGCTGTCAAAGCATAAACACACCTAGAGGGCAGCAATGATTTTGTCATCTTTAGCTATATATAGATCCTGAACGGAGACAAGGGGACAGCAACACACTGCACAGACACATACATTTTTCTCCTGGTTTTTTTTTTTTTCCTTTTGAGAACTATACAAGAGTTTTACCGCAAAAAAGCAAAGTTTTAAGTGGACAGCATCATCTTCAGATCCTTAGCCAAAGAATATTTTGCCTATATTCACAAATCATACTAAAGAGTAACCAGATTTTGATTTGTCAGCATGACTTTGTCTCCCAAATAAAAAGAGAAAAAAAATCAAAATAACTAAGTGTCAGAGATGAAAATTACTCATGGACTGACAAACTTTCTGTTTTATGAATCCAGCTGAAACTTATCTGAGTCACTCAGTGGTTCCCAAGAGACTCACACACATACAAGCACAACAAGTTCATCACAAGAATTTTTTGTAGTTAGAACGGAAATCTGATTTTTTGCAAACTGTTTACTCTATAGTGGCAAATGGGGTTTTTTAGGTACCAATTCCTGTCCTTAAGTCTTTGACTCAGATACCCTTTGGTTAAGTTCTGTTGGCATATTTCAAGGTTTGATCACGTTCCCCATCTAAGCACTCAAGGCTTGTGTGTTAGACAGAGTAACAATCAAAGCATTGCAGTTGCTGAGACGGATACCAAGCAGGGATACGTTCATATGAAGCCTTTGCTGAGCTGATTGTGGTGATGCGACTTACTATTTTGTCTTGAATTCCACATACTACATACACAGAGGCTACAATAAGCCAGATGGACAGCCCTGTGAGTACCGGGACTCAGGGAGCCCGTTTTCTGAAGGATCTGTGTCTTGTGCTTGACTGAGTCTGGTGTATAAGAAGGTGCAAATGCTAGCCTAAGCTTTTCATGCAATTTGCACACTTACAAGTATGGATTTTCTAGTGTCTAATGAGTCACAAATAGATGCAAAAGCCTTTATCTAAAGCAAATACTACTGGGTTTATGCCCTCTAACCGGTAAGCTACTTTTATGATACTAGCAGGAGCCTGGAATCTATTGAGACCTTCATTAATAACAAAATTTTGCTGAAATTGCCCCAAAAGTTGCATACATATTAAAATCATAAACAAACCCATAGATAGCCATACAAAGCCAATTTAAAAATATGCTATAGTTCCTACAAGGTAACAGCTCTCAGGCGAGCGATGCATGACAGCATAATAAACAGATGAGTTATGATCCAGCACTGGATAAACCGTTAGTAGAAGAAAGGCATTGCACATTGCCTGTTCTGCACTTTTCCCATTTCTCTCTCAAAACCAATTCAGCATATTTTTATACACAATCGTTTCTTCCTTTGCCCCTGCCAAAACACAGAAGAAAGAAAACAGAACAAAACTGCACTACATGTCCTAGGCAGAAATCTCACGTTAATCCAAGGCATCTCCTGATCAGACCTTGACTTTACAGCTGGATTATTCACCTATGACATTTGCAAGCTCCATTTCCTGTTGTTTACCAGTTGACTGTGCTTATTTTATTATCTGCATTAGGTGCACAGTCTAAATTTGAAGCCCATTGAGTTCCACTACAAATGGCCCTCTAACCACCCAGGAAAATAACCTGGCGAAACGATGGAGGTAAAAGCAGTCAGACTGCATCGGTATTTGGCCTTCTCAAACTTTGCACTAACCGCTACATCTTTGAGCTCATAAAAGAGGCTGCATCTTTGTATTCAAATCTTAAACTGCTGCCTGCTGCTTTCCCAAGCCTTAATCATGAACTACCAAGCCACAAGAAGCTGTTCATTTCACAAGCTGACTCAAATCTAGGTGTAGTTCTTCCCTTCCCGTTCTGTGCCAGGACTTGGAGGATCTACACACACAGAAGAGCAGAAGATCGATTGCAAGCTATCTACAGTGGCTTCAGTATAGTTTAGCACTCTATTGCAAGCTACATAGGTTACCAGATCTGCACCAGTACACATTATCAACCAGTCCTGTAAACATTTTCTGAACGTGAACACTCACATTTTATGTTGAAAGGAGAAAAATATCCATCTCTCTGGCTATGATAAAGTAGCATTTCAGCAATTCAATATAATTTCTTCATAACTATATTTTTTATTTAAAAAAAAGCATGTCACTGTTTTAAGAGCAGTTTTAAGAGGAATTTAAAAAAAAATTATGAGCAGTTTAATACAAACATTAGCCACAATTGAGAAGGAGGGAAGTCAGGAAGAACTTTAAATTAGGTCAATGACAAAATATTGAAAACATTAACAGAGTTCATCACAATACATTGGGGTATTTAAGTCTTTTTTTTTTTTTTAATCCTTGTACAGGAAAGTCATTTAAATTATCTCTAGTATGTTTTGATATAAATAAGGAATCATCCATAATGCATTTATCTTTTTTTTTTCTTCATTCTTTCCTTTTGGAAAAACAAAAATAGGACAGTGGAAATACTGACATCCCCCACCAAAAAAAAGAAAAACAAACACCCATGTTTCTTTCATGTACCTTTCCTATGGCTAATATTTTAGGGTCCATTCTGATATACTTCCTCTTTTCTGAGCTGTCCTTATATTTCCACTGATTGGGACTAGGAAGGTAGCATACTGTTTGCTATAACCAAAGACAGCACAACCCAGCTCTTTGTCTATGCCTACATATTCTGTTGCAAAGCACATAGGTCAGAGAATATGTGTTTTGAGGATGATCTGTAGTTCTCTGAGGTAACCTTCTTACTCTCCTCAAAGACAAGGATCACAGAACATAGTCCCCCAGAACAGATCTGGAAGAGGGCTTTGTTTGCATGGGAAATATACAGCACTTTTGTCTAGTTATCTAACCCATGATGCCTGGAGTTGGAGGAAGAGGAAATTCACTTTCACAAGTTAGAAAACAAGGTCTAAGATGACAGGATGCTTTTATGCGACTTACTGAGAATGCTACTTCTGTGAAATAAACACTAACTTGAAATAAACACTAACTTAAAATTAAACCACCAACACCTTAGTAACAATTAGGAGTCAAATATAGAGTGAAATGTCCACATAGTCAAAAACACCCTAAATCACTTGAAAAATGACTGGCAAATAAGTGGGATATGCATACTTGGAGCTAATATGTGAAAAACTCCTAATGAAAGGTCCAAACAATATTGACAGATAAGGAAAAGGAAATGAGTGCCTGGGTCCAAAAGCCTGAAAAATAAATTCTTAGTGAGTCATCATGATTGTTTACCTCTAAGACTAGATCATCAGTTCCAAGATTTCTAAGGAGCCTTCATATTCCCTTGCTCTGAATTTTATCTGCCTCATAATATCCTCTCCTGTTTCCCTTGCAGTAAAGATGCAGTCACCCTAGTCTTATAAGCCAACTACCAATGAAGTTAGTAAATAGATTCCAGACCTCAGACATCTGCTTGTAAGATATATAACTTCCAGCCCAGTTTGTCCCACTGTTCAAGCAAATAGCTTCTTAAAAGGAGAGTCCATTCAAAACATAGTTCTTAGCTGCTAAGACTAAGTACTTCGCAAGCCAGGGGATCTCAACTTTAGCCACATTGCTGAAGCACAGGTACATTAAGATGTACATACCGCCATACACATATACACATGAACAAACACATAAAGATAGTCAGTCAGCACAGACTGTCTCCTTAGATTGCAGAGGGTATTTTTGCCCAGATCTACCTAAATACAGTTAAGAAAAGAAGAATCAGTGTGCAAAATGCTGTGCTTCTGAGAAATCTGCATCATTCCAGGCAGGAATTTTGAATATACAGGCTGAAATGTGGAGGAAATGTTGATTCCCAGGCAAACACTTTTTTTTTAATGGGAAAGATATTCCGAGTTTCCCTAGGTACCTTCTCAGCACCAGATCTGTGGGAGAAGAAAAGGAGTTTGTACTTACTCGTGGTGTTGTATTTGATCCCATTGAAGAACTCTGGGCAGGGTCTCTCTACTAGCTCCCCCGCAGAGGTTCTGGGCCAGCAGGTCCCGATCTGATCAGTGGTGGCATTGCAATATGGACCTTTTGCATTAAAAAAGAGACAGAGAGAGAAAAGGTAGAGAGAAGAGGTTGAGAAAGCACAAAAGCAACACACTGTGCATCACAAAGCAAACTGTGAATCTCAGCACTCATAAAGCTTTTCCGAGCTCAGCACTAGGTAACATTTCCTACCATCAAAGCCCAGGAAAGGGATAGAGGAACTCTCTATAAAAGTCTCTTGTAAATGATCCAGGAGGCTGCAGTTGGCATCAAATTCTTCTAAGATGAACTGAGATATGGTCACATCCATTATTCTCCCCTGAGGCTATGGGATTAGATCAGGATCCTTCCTCTTTTCTGGTTCTTGTCCCTTCTCCTTTCTTCCTCTTTGGAAATAAATGATCATCAAGCTGCGGACACCCTGCAATCTTGTGTGTGTGAGCCTCTCTCCCTCCCAGCGCGCTGACAACTTGGCTGAGAGTCTGCGTCTGGCTGTGCAGTTCAACCCCCCAAGCTCTTCTTTGCTTTAAAACAGCAGCTCAGGAACCAATGGGATCACACTGAGCCCAGAGTAAGGGGCTTGTATCTCTTAGCTGGCTCCCCTGGTCTAGCAGCTCTCTAATGCTGCCTCACATTGCCAGACTGTTGTATTGCTTGCTCTCCCTCCCTCTTCTCACTCTCTCACACACACGCACACACAGGCACACATGCACGCGCGCGCACACACACACACACACACACACACACACACACGCACACGCACACACACATACACACACACAAACACATACACACAAGGTCTGATTGTTAGCTGCAGGGATGACTGCTTCTGCAAAAACACTCACTGTAAGTTAGAGCTGGAAAGAAAAGGAAAAGCCATCGGATTAATCTAAACTCCTCTGGCTGGCTGTGAAGCAAAGCAATTCCTGCCTTTACTGTCTTGGACAGGGAGGGGGGAGGAGAAGAGACCCTGTCCAGTAGTTGGGCTACTAGATCCTGAGCAAGTCTTGAGAAAGATGAGATATAATGAAATTTAAGACAGGGCAGATAGTCTGGCAGAAGGAAGGCATCAGAACAAAGGAATCTGGAGTACTGACCTAGCGGGGAGGCAGAGTAGGGAGAGGAAGAGAAGAGTTGGGAACCCACTTTGGGAAAAGCAAGGCATAGAGGCAACACATCTTTCAGCCTCTCATGCAGATAAGATGGGATGGGATGGGATGGGAGGGGATGGGATGGGATGGGATGGAACAGGATAGGATAAGACAGATAACAGAATAGAGCAAGGCACAGGGGGCAGAATTAGAGCTTTGGAGCGAAGGACAAATTAGTTAGGTAACAAGGAAGAAAAGGGAGGCTATCCTCTCCTTCTCTAGGGATAGGAAGGCATCCAGAAAGGATGAGTACTGTCTGTCAGGACACAGGAGGGAGATCTTCTGGGAGAGGAAACTATGATTCTGGTGGGGAGGGAAGACCAAACGGCTTGACCAAGTAAGGTCACCAAGGAACAGGATGAGAAAGGTCTAGAAGAGAAGAGAAGAGATGGAGGCAGTTTGGAGGGAGATGCCCAGGTAGTGGGCCATCTTTGAGGAAGTCAAAGCTCAGTACAGAGGAAGTGACTGAAGTTCTTCAACCTGGGACATGCTAGAGAGCAACCTAGATCTAATCAATCTTTTTGTCTTGCTACACAAAGACATGAGGAAACCTTTAGGAAGAATTGGCAAAACTTTGCTAAGGAAAAAGGAAGACAGAAATGATGATAGGATCATGGATTCAGAAGGATCTTATGAAGCTAATGGGAAATTGACTTGGGAGAAAAGCAAGATAAGCATATATGCTGATAGCATAGATGAATGCAGAAATTGAAGGCCAGGACAAAAAAAGAAGCTTTGAGAGAAAAAAGGGGTCCAGCATTGGGCTTCTGTGTAACAGTTTGTGTTCATAGCTTTAGACTGGACATTTCTTTTGATGTTGACTTCAAAGCAATGGTATGGGGCTCTCAATAATATCTATCTTTCACCCTTCTTTGGCCCAGACTTTCTCTTTACTCATATTTAAGATCAAAAGGCTTCATTTTTCATCCTTCAAGAACTGCAAAAAGTGTGCTCCCCAATGAAAAGAAAAAGAACAAATCATGGGTTAAAAGGGAAAATAAATCACCAACATCAACTGATGAGAGAACTAGACAGAAAACTCTTTTACCATCTGGGGAATATGGAGATTTTTTAGTATTTTCATAGGTTTCAACAGAAAAAAAAAAAAAAAGAGTTCCATCATGTTTTGGGATGAGGGTTTTTATTCTAAATAGGCAAAAACTATGAATTAGTAAATGTCTTAACTCTCTAGGCTGTTTGATGTTCCGAGGCAAGTGAACGCCTTTCTCTCTCTGGAGCCATGATCTCTTTCCCAAGTGAATAACTGGAATCCTTCTTGAGAAGTCAATTTTTCAACAAATTGGCCTTTCTGGACACCACCAGATCTCTTTTTCCCACATATCTCCAATCCCAAGAAGCAGTACGGCAAATTTCTTCAGAACCATTCATACCATGACTACTACCAACATGCTTCTTGTCTTTACACAAGGCTTTGAGGATAAAATACTATTTCTGGAACTCTGAAGCAAGGGGGATTAAAGTTGCTCTAAACCTCTAGGCAACTTACAGTATTCTATCCCTTCAACTCTGTCTTCAACTCTACCTTTTAAATTATTTTGCCTCTTCCTGGAAGGACAGTTCAGAAAACTTTTGAATTCAGAAAATTCTAAAGTTAAAAAAAAAAGTTCCTCAAGTAGAGCTTCTTTTAGTGATGGCTATGAGATGTTCTCAGAAGACATTAAGTGCTTAGCGGCACCACTGGGTCCAGTGGACACTTCAATTGAGGCAAAACTGATCATTGAGAAGGGGCATGGTGTAGGATGCTGATTAGAGTTTCTTTCCTGCTTCTAGCTCCATCTCTGCAGAGCAAAATCATACAGCCTGGGCAACAGTCTCCATTTCTCACTTGTTGTTTGCCTTGTCTATTTCCTCACACTATTTATACAGCACCTGGCACACTGTAATCTAAAACCTTGGCTTTGGGTTTGGGGCACTAGAGTATCTTTTACAACTAAAAGCAAAGATAGAAAGTTTCAGAAAAATGAACTACTCTTAAATTTGGTAAATGCTTCACTTTTCTAAATGTTGGTGTGTATTTCTCAGCAGAAATACTTGAAGTTTTTTCAAAATAAATCTTTCAAATATTTCAAAGTGGAACACTGAGCTGGATTTTATTTCCGAACTGTTTTTTATAGTGGTTAAACCCCAAAAAGCAGACCAAAATGAAACTAAATATTTTATTTCAGGATGAAGAAAACGATGTCCTCATTTCAGTGAGAAAATCATCTAGTCATTCTAAAATGATTCTACTTGTCATCATCTTTTCAATTCCGTTACCTTTAGAAAAAGAGAAGCTGTACATACAGCACAGATAATACTACTCCATTACAAATATGTAACAATCAAAACAACACAAAATAAATGTAGAGGAGATGAACAAATTTTCTGCGAGTAAGTCTTGATGAAGAAGATAACTTGTTATTCCTCAATCCACAAATTAGCTCTATTGTTTAATAATCTCTTCCCAGCTCTACTGTAGCATCTTCCTGAAAAACTATTTTTGCAGCTTTCCCTGAGTACAATTAATTACTTAATAAAAGTCTTCCTTTGGCTGCATTTAGTCAGATTCTGATCATGTTAATTTGACTCATTTGATGTGAAAATACTGCTCTTTTTAAAAAAGGCAAATCCAATTAAATTAAAGATTAGCAGAAATACTGTAGCTGCTGACACTGTTGATTCTCTGCTGCTTCACTACCCCTCTGTGATGTATCTGATACAAATGAAGAGCTACTAGATCTTGTCAAGCAATAGGTAACAGAGATCTGACCTAAGAATAGCTGAGCAACCACAGAAGGCTGGTAATTGCCCTTGGCAGGCAGAAAGATTTTCTCAACTTATAAGCGAGCTTGTTCTTGTGTAGTGGTTTTCACTGGTTTGTTTGCCTGGGTATGCATGACATATGTGCACAATTAACGTGTATAAGAACATCTGAATATATAAGTGAGCATGACAGATAAATGAATATATAAACACAGCAACACTTCATTCAGCCTCTTATATAGAAGAGATATTGGAAAGTGGCCTATGGCTCTTCTGGAACAGGAATTAGCTCTGCCCATGAATGGACTACTATATTCCATACTACTAGAAATCTTTTCATTTCAGGCCTGCACAACTGTTACCCAGATAGCTCCTCAGCCTCCACCTCAATCCACAGTTAGTAGATTTACCTGCAGAACATCTTTCGGTTTGTCCCACAAAAGATAACTAACAAAGATGACACTGTGCTGTTTAATGATAACAGCCACAGTAAGCAGCACCAAAACTCAGCCCTAGGTGGACTGAGGCAGTCAATGTGTGTTTGCGTGTGGTGGTCGTGGCTGCAAAACCAGCTGGCAGCTCCTCGGTCATGTCTAGTAGGAGCACCTTCCCTCCTCAAATATTCAACCTCCACCAAATCAAGAAACCATGGTATATCTCAATATCCAAGCAAGGGAAAAAGTCAGTTCTTTCCTCATTCAAACAGAAAAGCCAGCTCACTTTAACTCCTTCAGCTTTCTTTACCCCACTACAATGACTGTTTCATCTCCCATCATTCATTTCCCATCTCTCCTTACCCATTTAGGTGAAGAGTTCATGTTTTTCAGGCGCACTAGTCACTCATCTCTTCTATTCAACGCATAAAGCTTAGGACAAGCGAAATACACATCATTCATCAAACCACCTGGTTATATCAATACTCTTCCTATCTTAGTTCCATTAGTTCTCAGTAATTTACCTGACCAATAGGGTAGTACCGTACAGGAGTCACACTCCTGACTACTGCCTCTTCAGGTCTTTTTCTTTTAATCCAAGTAAAATCCACATCCAAATCATACTCATCACCTAACATTATAAATTGGCATGTTTATGTGGGCTTGGATGTAGCAAGCCAGCTACATACAAGAATATCTGATCCAAAAACGTGGTATGGTCTGCAGGGCAAGTACAACATCTTCTAGTTGAACCTGCCTCCTGTCTGGTCTGTTTGGAGCTGATGCAGGTCTATGTGAAAACCCATGAACACCGTGTGATGTTTATCACATCCTCGGTGAGGTAAAAATTCAAAAGAATCTCAAAGAAAGGTTGTCCTACCCTGATTTTGATGGCAGAGAGGAGGATGAAGGGGAAGGAAGGAAAGGATGACAAACTGCAGTTTCTTATTTGTAGAAGTGAAGTGTTTAGATCCCTAGAGGACAGTTAAGAGGCAGAATTAAGGGTGATAGTAGAAATGCAGTGTCATCATTTCGCATAGCTCAGCTGCTCTAATGAGAAGATTGTCTGTCTACCTTTGCATTTGTCTACCTCTACATTTTTGGCACCTTTAAATATGAGGCAGGATGGTTTCAAATGGCACAGTAAGAAGTATTTTCTCAACTCTCTCTTTTTATCTTTTTCTGTTTGAAAAATGTCCCTCAATATTCCTTAATTCAGCAATCACCTTTCAGAACCTGACTTTAAAGTTAGTGGGATTTTCCAGATAGATAAAGACTACAAGA